GACCACACCAAACTCTCAGACAATACTCAAAATTATGGGGCGTGTGAGGGAGGCTAACAGGTGATTACAAGTCAGGATCAGCCAACAGTAAGAATACCGTCACCGGTCCACAGCAGCACCTCTCCTCAGCCAGCCACAGAATCCCTCTCTGGTCGTCAGCCTCTCCATCACGTGGTCCCTTAGCTTCTGCCTCACCGTCTTGGTCTCAGCCCTGCTCCGTCTTGCTGTCCCATAGCACCTGTGCCACATCTCTGGGGCCTCTGGCCTTGGCCTCCGCCAGTTTAGACAAGGATCCTGGATTTTCTCTTTGCTGCTTCAGATGGTGCACCCTTATAGGTGGGGATGTGGGAAGAAAAACTGACCAATCCCCTCCATTAGCATTATACATACCCTATTTGCATAATCCCACCCAGTCATTTGGTGGGAGTTAGAGGGAAATGGATAGAAGAGCCATATTAAGAACTTTCATGCCAGCGCTCCAGGTTCTCGATTCTGGGTGGGGCCCCTTGGGTCTAGACTTCAGCTCTGCTTTCCAGGACTACTAGAATGGTCATTCTACTCCCTAGGGTTCAGGCAGTCCATTCTTCTAGTCTGTCTGAGTGGTATCCTCACCCCCATCAGCATGGAAGTCCTGGTCCCTGGGGCATGGAAGTCCTGGTCCCACTGCTTTGAGCAGGAGCCCCATTCTCTTGGTCAAATTGAATGGTTGTCCCCTACTGTGGAACCAGTTAGTGAGGATCTGACCCTTTGAAATCTAGAGGTCATGGCTTTTTACCTCTGAGACCCCAGGCACCCTTGAGCCTTAGGCAGCTCCTTCCAAGTGTTCTGCTCATATCTGACCCACTGCAGGGATGGTTCTTTACTTGACGCACAATTGCTGTGACTTCTCTGGTCTGTGGAATTCTAAGAGGCCAACAGGGCTCTTTGCTCTCCTTTCTCTGCCCCATTCCGTCTGATAGGTTTTCTGCTGCGGTGGGTTGATCCGTCAGCCACAAGCTTCATCTCCCTCACAAAAGATCGCATAGCCATGCCCTTGGCGAATGTTCTTGGACTCACCTTCTTATTTGGGGAACAGAATTTTCCAACTCTGGTTTGCTTTTATTTTGCGCGCTTCATTTTAAAGTCCATCTGTTCACTCTCACATTTGACTGTAAATGGCCAGGAGAAAGGGTTCTGCTGGGACCGTGGGTGAGGCATTGGCGCCTAACGGACAGGTTAGCAGCAGTTTGCTTCCGTTAGACACACAGCCTTGGAAACCCTGTGGGACAATTCTACTCAGTCCTGCATGGTGGCTAAGGATCAGAATCAACTCGGTGACAGTGTGGTTGACTAGGGAAATATCTTCAGTCAAATATTCAAGTTCATCACTGCCACCTTCCACCAAACATGTGATTTTCATTCAGACAGGCTCTTGGTCACTGCATCAAAAGCATCACTTTCCCTCAATTGTAGGATCACATAGTCATCATTTCCTTTTAAAGCCTCCCCAGAAGCATATTAACATCTCAAACAACATTCTTTTACTGCTCCACATGTACTAAGAAGACAGAGACGCTACCTACTGCTCTCTTAATTGCCTTCTTACCCTTTCACCAGAAGTGACTTTGACTTCCATAGTCTGCCAGCAAGCTCTGGGAGGCAATTGAGGCATTTACTATCGTGACGAGCAGCCGCTGAGTTGGCTCTGATTCATAGCAACTCCATGTCCAACCGAATGAAACATTCCCGGGCTGCACCACCCTCGTGACTCTATCAAAAACAGAAACAGAAGCCCAGACCTACTGCCAGCAAGTTGGTTCTGCTCACAGCGACCTCACAAAGAGCCCCGGAGTCTGTACACCTTTACAGAAGCAAACGGCTTCATCTTTCTCCCCGTGGTTGACTTGAATACTGACCTTGTCGTTAGTAGTCCGGTAGCACACTGGGCACTTTCAGGCACTTTCAAACTCTATCCAAAACCAATTTCTCTGCCATCCAGTCGGTTCTGACTGATGGAGAAACTACCCAAAGCTCTCACGGCCATCAAGCCTATGCCACTCATAGCCGACCCCGTAGGACCGGGTAGAACAGATCCTGTGAGTGTCTGCGACTAACTCTTTTTAAAAAAATCATTTTATTGGGGGCTCTTTACCGTTCTTATAACATTCCACACATCAATTGTATCAAGCATATTTGCACATATGTTCCCATCATCATTTTCTAAACATTTACCTTCTATTTGAGTCCTTGGTATTAGCTCCTCTTTTTTCCCCCTCCCTCTCCGCCTTTCACCCTTGTGACCCCTTGATAAATAATAAATTATAATTGCTTTCATATCGTACACTGACCCCTCTCTCCCTTCACCCACATTTCTGTTGTTCATCCCCCCAAGGGGGGGGTAGTGTATGGATTATGTGTCGGTCATTGCGATC